GTTAGGTTAATTTATAGAAAAAAAATCTAATAACAACTAAAAAATTTGTATTTGTATTTAAATATTATTTTCTTGCCTTTATTTTTATATACATACATATTTAAGGAAAAATATTTATATTTGTATTAAAATACCTTTTTTTATTATTTTTTACGTAAGCATGTTCATTATAAGAAACCGAGTCAAGAATCACTACAAACTGCAAACGTGTGGGCATAATTACGTTGTTATTGCCTTGTTCACGAACGCAAGGGCTTCTTGTTACATAGGCTAATGACATTTTCGTTATGCACATTCTTCAAATAAGTCGTCCGAAGAATAAATTAAAAACGTCTTGCGGTCGCAGCCTTCAACCCTTTCAACTCCTATTATTAGCACCGTTTTAAAAATCCCAAACATGCACACTTCTGTGGTAGGTACTCAGTTCACGTCTGGAAGTCAAGTTTTGTTCACAAAAAGGACAAAAATACCGACCTAAGAATAATACACTTGTTTTCTGTATTTGTAAGTATACTTTGAGTATGTATACAGGGCGTCGCAATTGTTATTTAGCTTATCAACTCGGTTGTTATAACCTCTTTTTGAACTACAAAATTTATTTATCCAGTGCAACGTCTATTGGTTTTCCACTTTAAATAACAATGCTTACAATTTTTTGTATTGATTATATAATCGTAAAATATTTTTTACTTTTAATTCTTCAAACAACCTTCCTGTAAAACTTGCAAATAGAAAACATTATTATGTTCGCGATCGTTTAATTTAAGTTTCAAAAAATCGGTTGTCTGTAAAGTCGGTTTACTGACGATAGTTGAACGTGACAACGTCATAAGAAAATACTGATGGAATGGTTTCATTTTTCAAAAGAAAATTTTAATTTTATTTGTTTGATAGATATTTTGTATGGATATAGAGAAGGAGGTATATGGAAATGTATTATTGTATAGCAGCTGTCCACGCGGACGCATCGCTCACTCAAGTAGGAGAGAGACAGATGTCGAACGCTGCCGAACGCGGAAGCCGATTGTGCCTCTTTGTCGCTCGTTCCGCGCTCTCGCATGCACTTCAAGCCTTAAATGGAACGCCTCAGAGCGAGGTAACGCCGCATGAGTCATGTTTTTTTGTGCGTGCAGCCGCTCCATCGAATTATAAGACGTTGTCACGTCAAAAAGATAATTATAAATACGGCTTTATATGAGTATAAATCGTGGACGACGGGTTCGATTCCCGGCGAGGGCAGAGCAGCAGCAACAGCTTTTCTTCATCAATTTGAGGTTATCTGTGGTGGTAAAAATTAATTCACTTGAATGAATTGAGGAGCCTACAAAAATTCTTCTAAAATTGTTAAAGCTAGTTAGAGGTCTGTCCAAAAAGTATAGCGAATTTTGAATTTCCGCGAGTTACGTAGATTCTTTTGTGGCGTTATGTTGGTAATCATGTCTCTCACTTCGGTCATGTTGAATGTTCAGTTAATATTTAACAGCTGCTTTGCCTGCTACAACACGTGTTATGACTCGTCATCGATTTTTGCCAAATAATTGATCAAAGAATCTGTATCAAATTTTGTGTGAAAAACAAAATTAAGTGCGCGGACGAATTCCGAATGTTTACTGTGGCATATGGTGAAGCTACCTTAGACCGAAGCTACGTTTATCGGTGGTACAAAATGTTCTCAGATGACCGAGAAGATGTGAACGAAGAAGAGCGTGCTGGACGCCCGAGCACGTCAGCAACAGACGAAAACATTGATGAAGTAAAGAAAATAATATTGGCCAATCGTCGAATCACCGTTACAGAAGTTTCTGAGTACCTAAACATATCGATTGACTCCTGCCATTCAATTTTGACTAATGCTTTGGGCATGAGATGGGTCGCCGCGAAATAAGTACCAAAATTGTTCAATTTCGACCAAAAACAACATTGCTAAGGAGCTGTCAGACTCTGCCCGCGAAAACCCAAATTAGTTCCAGAGGGTCATAACTGATGACGAATAATTGGTTTATGATTTTGACATGGAAACCAAAGCTCAATCATCCCAATGGATCAATCTATTCCTGGCTAAAGGACTCCGCGCAATCCTTATGAAAAATTGGTTCCGATCTATTTCTTCTTCCTTGGCTTTTCCCATCTCGTCAGGTAGAGTCTCCTCGTTCTTAAGCGTTAGGACATTTCTGTCTTCTGTTTTCTGTGTCTCTAGCTATGCTTGTTCCATATTTCTGGTGACGATTGTCCACCAAGTACTAGCCATCGTCCTCTGTCCATTGTAGTATCTGGAATGACCAAAACCCTCTTTACCATGTAATCTTCGACTCGCATTATAGCTAAAGTCAAGTACATCTCACCATCAAGTGCATTTTTGAAATAATCCTTGGAGATAGGTAATTATTAAGAACATAGCAGGGGTCAATATAGCATGCTCCTCCTTAGACCCAATAACTTTTCTTTTGAGCGTTTCTATATATCCAGAGGACCTAAAGATTTAATGAATTGATTATCCTACCAGTTGTACATTAGACATCCTGAAAATCGTGAACTACATTAATCCGTAGATCAAAAGCATTTTATTTTTTAATCTGGTGCCCATGAGAACGTCGGATCAAAAAATCATAAGGAAATCATACTCTAATTGCAGTTAAACGGATGAACTGATTTTCGATATGGATTGTGGCGGGTCCTTTGTTTGTCTCGTTTCTATCCTAGACAAAATTTTTCAGTCTCTAAGAGTATTTTAGCGTCTCTGAGAGGGTCTCTCACAGTCTTTCACAGCCTCTCAGTTATTGCCTAGGTGTTTTTATGGATCTCTCACAGTCTCTGTATGAGAGACGACTCGAACGATAAAATTGTTAATTCATAGATTCGAGTCTCAAAGAGAGACTGAATGAATAAAATTGAAAAATTGAGAGACTCGAGTCTCTCGTTCAGAGACTGGATACGAAATGAGGATCTCTCTATGAGCGACTAGAGTCTCTCGTTTTGAGACGCTAAACAGTTTATTTTACAGTCTTTCTCAGCGACACCAGAGAGACTCGATGAGAGACGGAGACACACCCGTATTAATCAGGTACCCACACAAGTAAAAATCGACATCTCTACGATACGTGTTTTGACTATAAACAGTTTACAAGGTGGTTGGTCGTGTTTTCCCAATTGCCAATGCAATAATGGCTAATTTAACGCG